GATAATTATTCATTTATTTGAAGGATAAGGTTGGACTCAAGAAATTACAAAAAACAGTCAGACATAAGATATTTCCGAGAAATGAAAACCATTCAGTAATGCTGGCACAATTTATAGAATGGATATCAAAGACATAAGTTACATTAAATATATTAGAGGTCTTAACATTTGAAAGAGATTTGAAAATTTTCGAGAGCCAAAGGAGTAGTGCTCGAAAAGAGAAAGGATCAAAATCACATTACCATTTTGGATTTGAATTCCAAGATAAGTTAAGACAGAAGGATCAGAATATGAAATTTTGGATCCCTACAAAGAACTTTCTCAACATCATTGAACAAAGAGATTTCGAAATGTACTGCTTGACTAAGACCATAACAACCTGGAGAGCTTAAACTAGATGAAAGGTTAGGTAAAAAGACAAATAATGATCCTTATTTTTCAAGAAGAAATATTTCCAAAGAGAAAGATATTTAATTTGAATTATTTGACTTTCTGATGTTGCCATCAGAGAGTCCAACTTCTTTGAAAAAATAAGGATCAGGTAGCATCATTCTCATTTTGTTCAGAAAAAATATTCAATTTGGTCTCATCCAATGCCTTGGTGAAGACATCAGCGATGTCATCATCAGTAGGGAAAAAAAATAAGCTCAATGTTATCATTTAAAACATGATCTTTAATAAAACGGTAATGAATATCAGTATGCTTGGTCATGGAGTGTTGGGTCAGATTATGAGAAATAACAATGACACTTTGAGAATAACAATAGATCGAAATCTGTTAAAATCAGAAACCATGGTCTAGAAGCTGTGATTTCATCCAGAGAACTTGTGATGTGAAGCTTGCACAACGATGTATTTTGCTTCAACTGTGAAGAGATCAATGCAGTTCTGCTTCATTTGAAGGATACCAAACTCTAAGGCTCTTTATTCCTTTTAAAAACCAAAAAAAAATTCACAGCTAAGAGGTGAGACATTTTCGGATTAGCCTAGAATCTAACACATAGGCATGTTGAGAACATGATATTTGGGCGACTTGAAGTGGGGTACAACAATGATTCGATCATTCCCCTATACTTCTTCCAATCAAAGGCTTTAACAGATGAGTCGGAGAAGATCTTGTGTCCAAATCCCATTGGAAATTTTGCGGAGGCACATGAGTCCATTGAATATTTCATTAGAAGTTCAGAAATGTATTTCTCTTGGTGAATAAAGACTCCTAGATTTGTTTGTTTGACTTTCAATCCGAGGAAGAAACTTAACTCATGATTCATGCTTATTTGGAATCGGATAACCATTAGCACAAAAAAGTTGGAAACCATCGTCAGATCAGTTGACCCAAAGATGATATCATTGACATATATTTGGACTAACATGCGATGTTTCCCATTAGATCTTTGGAACAAGGTAGGATCAAGAACTCCTCTTTGAAAACCAGATCGCTTTAGAAAACAAGTAAGAGTCTCGTACCAGGCTTGAGGAGCTTGCTCAAGGCCATACACAACTTTTTGGAGTTTATAGCAATAGTTTGGATAGGCCAAAATGACAAAACCAGGAGGTTGTAGAAGTTAGACTTGAATGTTGGGTTCACTGTTGAGGAAGGCACTTTTAACATCCATCTGGTAAACTTTGAAGGCCTAGTGAGCTGCATATGCAAGAAATATTCAGATGGATTCAATACGAGAAATAGGTGCAAATATCTCGTCGTAATCTAGACCTTCAATATGTGTGAAACCTATGGCCACTAATCTTGCTTTCTTTCTGATGATGACTCCTGCATCGTCGAGCTTGTTTCAGAAAACCCAACTAGTTCCGACAACAGGGTGATCATGAGGATGAGGGACAAGATTCCAAACTTAATTTCTGTCAAACTCGGCAAGCTCTTCTTGCATGGCTATAATCCAATCGGAATGTTCTAAAGCTTCTTTAAATAAAGTTGGGTTCAACCATTGAAATAAATGCAGAGAAGAACCATTCATTTTGAATGTTGAAATAAATGCAGAGAAGGGCCATTGAATGTTAGCAGCAGAGCGAGTTTGAACTCCAACATTCAAATTTATGATAACTTCATCGGGAGGATGATCCTTTGTCCAAATATGTAATCTTGGAAGTTCTTGTGTAGAAGATGATTTGACATCAATGATTGAGGTGTGTTGCTCCCCTTGAATAGTTTGAATTTGGGGATGATGCTCCCCCCGAACTTCTAAACCGGAGATATCTTCGTCTTCATTCGGAAAGTAAAAGAAATTCCCATCATTGTCGTTGTTTAGAATTGGATCAATTTTGAAAAACTGATCTACGCATCATGAAAGCTTTCAACATTTGATTCGAGGGTTGGATTACTTCCCTAGACTTAAGGCATAGAAGTGGAGGTATTCTCCCCCTCAACCCGAGATGGGAATACTTCAGAATCAGATGGAGGAAAAGTTGGAGTTGGACCAGAAAAGTTTTGAGAAACATGTGGATTTGGTGTTGATGAGGATCTTGATCGAGATTCCGAGTCAAGAGCTATTTCTATAGGTCCAAACAAATTTTCAAAGTCAACTTCCAAAATGATTTGAGGATTCGGAGAACCAGGAGATGAAGCGTCAGACTCCATGATTTTAGTTGTAACATTGGTTGGTTCTGAATTCCGAACAACTTTTATATCAAAGCTTTCTTTAATTATATGGGTACGAAGATTAAGAACTCGGTAAGCCTTTGATTTAGCAAAGTATCCCAAAAAGATAAGTTCATCATATTTTGGTTAAAAATTGGCGAGTTGATCATGGTTGTTCTTGATGAAAAATCTACATCCAAATATATGTAGAAATGAGATACTGGGCTTCCGACCATTCATATCTTCATAAGGTGTCATGTTGAATCGCCGGTTGATGATGCTTCGGTTTTGAGTAAAACAAGCTGTAGAGACTACTTCATCCCAAAGATAGAGAGGCAGATTCGTAAAGTTTAACATTGACCAAGCGGCTTCAACAAAAGTTCAGTTTCTCCATTTAACTACACCATTTTTTTGTGGTACGTAGGGAGCATAAAAGGTGTGTTCAATGCTTTTATCAACCAAGAATGCTTCAAGAGTGGCATTTTGTGAAACCAGTTCCAGTATCACTACGAACAGGTAGGTTTGTCAGAACTTCGATTCCCTTGATAAAATTGTTGGGCTCAGAGGTTGTTTCCGACTTTAATATAAAAACAAAAACCCATGTAAACCTTGTGTAGTCGCCGAAAATAACAAGAATGTATTTCTTGTGGTGTAGACTTCAACGACAAGTGGGCCACACAAATCAATATGAAGAAGTTTTAGTGGCTCGGAGATGGACTTTTCGATCAGAACTGGATGACCTTTCTTGGATTTCTTCCTACACTCACACATAGCAAAGATATTATTGTTATCAATCTTGAGGAGTGGAAAACCTCGGACTATTTCTCTAGAAACCATATCATTTATGTATCATAAATTTATATGTGCGAGTCTCCGATGCCATAGATAGCTGACACGAGGAACGAAATTTGTAAGAAAACACATTTGAGGCTTTTCAAAAATCATGTTAATATCCAAGGGATACATGTTTTTGTTCCAATCATACTTGATGATACATTATTTTTCGATCTTTTGTCATGACGTAGCTATGCTTCTTGCAGAACTCAACTCTCCGATTTGCATTAGTAAGTTGGGAGGCACTGATCAGATTATTCTTAATATCATCCATATATGTCACATTTGAGACAGAGAAGTTGCCATTGGTCAGGATGCCACAACCAACCATAAGAGTTTGTGTTGTTGCCATAGCAATGAGTACTGGAATGGACGGTGTCATGATTATATGAGCTAACGGGATAGTTACATTTCTTTGGTGAGTACTGGAATGGACGGGATAGTTACATTTCTAACGGGAAATATGTTTTTGTTTGAAAATATTATATGATACTTTCTGAGGATAGTTACATTTCTTTGGTGAGTTCTCAACCTTAACAAATTTTACGTTATTTTTAGCCACAGTGTCATGATTATCTGAGCTAACGGGAATGGACGGTGGTTTAAGAATCTTAACATGAGCAAATGTATTGTGATTCCTATTTGCTGGACTAACACCTTCTTGAGATGCTTTCTGGTTGGACTTTTTAAGATACCTAGAGCATTTTTTGGACCTAGTTTCTTTCTCTAAAGTTTTTCTAGCCTCTATCTTCGGATGAACAATATCCTTCTTGTTCAACCATGGTTTCTTCTTAGAGTCAGATGTTGACTTAGAAGATTGTCCGGCAGATGGATTATTAAAACATGGCTTTATCGGGAGTAAGGTATACTTTGAAATAGTTGTGGAGTTCGAAGCGGAGGAATCAGAAGACGAGTCATCATCACACCTAATTTCTTCATCAACGTCACTATTTAAAGATGCCCAAAATGAGTTATCATTTTCGGGTTGTCTATGTAAGGTCCGTTTCGATTTCTGGTATGACATTCCTTTAACTTGTATAATAATAATAATAATAATAATAATAATAATAATAATAATAACAACAACAACAACAACAACAACTAGGGGGTGTTCCTCCGCTCCGCGGGGACGGAGGTTGTTATCAGCTAAAAAAGTTCTCAGGATAGTGAATTGTCTGACCAATTTCTTCTTGGGTGTTCATCAAAAAGGACCCCACTGATGACTGATCACATCTTCGAGCTCCTCGTTTACCGACGACTGAACACATCTTTGGGCTCCTGGTTCTGTTCTTGTCTATATCGACCACTTGATATCCAAGCGCTCCTACGCTATAATTCTTAATGTAACCCCATCTTCAATAGCTTCTTCAATATTCCTACTCGCCATCTCGTCAAAAGTCAGATGGATTTCACTTCTAAATTGGAAACGAAAAGGTCAAACTGATACCCATTAAAATCATATACAAAACACAATACGTATCATTCCTTTTATGATGAAACCACATTCCTTCACACATGTGGTGTTTTTGTTAAGCTATTAACTCGAGTTTAATGATTAAATTGATATATAATACTAGATGTTTGTACATCGTATGATTGTAGAAACATGAATGCAAAAACCCCAAGTGTTCTTGATATGTAGATTTATCCTTCAAAATAAAAATTTATTGCTTCAATCATACTATTTATAGCAAACCAAAGAATGTAAGTGGTTCAATTTTCGTAGAAAGTACCTAAAAGTAGGTTATGGAGTAGCCATTTGAGCAGTCTCTAATGTCGTTATCCTCCATTGAAGTTTCTCTGTTGGGTCACTGTTATATTGATCTGAAATAAAAGGAAAGAATATTATTTCCATCCGATAATTTTATTCAAAACCCAAATTAGTGTTTAGTACAAAAACCCATTTTCTTGAAGATTCAAATAAAGAAAACTGATGAGTGAAGTGAGAAAAAATTACTTACATTTGAGAAGTTGAAGAAATGAGAGGTAGTCATACATGTGTATCTTTCAAGATCATATGGATTGCTAGAAGCTCTGTCATACAAATGTAAACACCATTCATTCATACTTGTTTTAAAAAATAAACTTGTTTATTTGCAAAACAATTTATATAAATCTTACCCATGGTTAGGATTAACTCCATTAGTACTCATTCCTACTTCCTGAATATTGGCCTTTTTTTTACCAATATAGCTCCACAACTTTTTAATTTTGATACAGAGACTGCATCTTTCTCAATACCGTGTGTCTGTTGTATACAAAAGATTTGTTTTGTTTCGTTTTTCTAGTTAAAGTGTTGTATACATTATTTTGTTCGGATAAAATGTTGTATTCATAAGGTCAATTTGTTTTTTTTTTCTGGACTGATGAATACAATGTAATAAATCGTATGAATAAAAGAAAATGACCATTTGACCCTTACATTCCAAAATCAATTTTCACAATATTCATTAATTTTAACAATATGCAATAATATTAACATGTGATGAATTCAAAGGAATAAAAAATATAAAGGCAAATAGATAAGATGCTTCACTAAGCTATATATGGATGTTTCTTTTTGACTTAATGGAGAACTTAATAAAAAAAAAACCAGAGGAAAGGGTATATATGTTAAATCCTCATTATTTACCAATTAATCCATTTATTTTTTTCCATGTAAGTTGTCACTTTTCATAATCTATATATACGATATCGGTCTTGATGCATTTATTTATCATAAAGAGATCATATAAAAAACTGATTATCTTTATTACCTTCTAATTTTAGTAAACCGGGAGTCTCTTATCATGAAAGTTGGCATTAAACTTTAGTCACATATATTTCATACAAATGAAAAAATAAATAAGATATTTATGGTAGAATGAAAGGGAATTTACATAATAACTATGCCATTAATATAGTTCCCTTTTGATGGTAGCTTCTACACCCTTGAGGAACTATTCAATCAGTTTCTGTACATATGGAAAATTTGTAATTTATATAAATTTTAATAGTGAGGTGGTATTTAATATAATTAAATTTATTTTACTAAAAAGTATATATTTACCAAAAGAATCAATTTTGGGTGAACAAACTCCCCCAGAAGTTTTCGTAGCTTTACGCGTATAAGAAACAACCTGTTAAAAAAATGTAACATTTCAAAAAATATTTGTCATTAAAATTACATTAAAAAAATGTTAGAGTTTATAAACTTGCCTCTTAGATGATGGATCAGGTCGGATCTCAACAGCAACATCAATAAGAATATTTTTTCATCTTATTACAACTGGTTAGGTGCATAATTTCATCAGTGTTAAAAACATTGAACATCTTATTTTATATAAAAAATTATTATTATCAATATAATAAATCTCTTCTTACTTGTGAGACTTGCATGCTTCAAGAGTCATGATGCTTTTCTTATTTAGATGTACTTTTATTTCACTACACCACAAATTTTCATATATGCCACCGTTTGTCCCAAACTGCAAGTCTAATATGGTTTTATTACATATATTAACACAATCATACACTTTCCCATCTTTTTTTGGTGCAGTGAAATAAAATGCGTTGGTATCAGTAAATCTATAAATGTAATAATGTATGGGTAGAAAAAAGCGTAAGGTAATGAGCTGGAGATATAATAGTAAACAAGCTAAAGAAAAGTTGAATGGGTTCCTTCAATGGAAAACTAGGAATCGTCGGAAAAGGCGAATCTTACTGGAAGTGTTTACTGACACCACCTTTCCCTCCCTCTCCACATATAAATCGATCTGATAGATCCTATGGCCCGATCTGAAGTCAACGTCTGTGAAAACTTAACCATTGCTCCTAAAAATTCTAAATCACCATACGACAATAACAACGGATGATACCTGGGCTGTTTTCAACTGAACCAAACATGTCATCGAATATGAAGATGACAGTTTCAACGATGGAGGTTTCAGGCGAGATCTGCAACTCAGAACAAGTTCCAGTATGTGAAAATCTCACCCCCACCTCACCCTCTATCCCCATTCCCCCAATCCTACCTAGAAACACTTCTACCATCTTCTGCACCAATACCATCCACCGTATCATTAGAGTTAAAACCACTGAATTACTCAAATTTATCAATAAGACTTGACATCATGTATCATTTATCATTAAGTATTGAACTGATATATCATATTCAAACATTGAAACATAAATTAGTTAATAAATAGGAGATCTAAATTGAAACAAAAATCATACATGGACCACAAAATTGAAACATGAAATGCAATTTATGTAGATACACAGTAAGACTTGAAATCATACAAAGAAATTTATACAGAGCAACTGAAATAAAACTTACCTGAGACAATCGGTGGTCAGATTGTTAATGGAAGCTGGAGAAGTTCTGCTTGATGATGGAGGCTGATGGAGATTGCTTGATGATGGAGATTGGCGACGGTATAAATCATCAACTGAATGTACAAAAATAGAAACATTGGCTCTGAAATCAAACTCAAAATGTTGCATATACTTGTCAGCATCTGGTGTGGCCATCGTTCGACGCAAAAATTGTAGTTCCAAAGTCCAATCAGGTTGAATTTGGGGGAGGGAAATAAATAAATAAGGAACTTGACATTGGCGATGGTCCTCTGTATGAATTAGGGCTTCAAAGGTCAGCCTTTTCAAACACAATGACCAAATCCAGCAAAGAACGAAACAAAAATCAAACTTGGACTGTTTTCAACCTCCCACCATTTTTCCTCCCCAATCCATCGCTTCTTCAACGGTGCTTCGGTGGTGGTGTCGATAGAAAAAACTTTGCGTAGCACATCTATATGTCGAGCAAGCATCGACGGGTGATGGGGATTCATGTTTTGAGAGGGATTTAGAGGAGCGATGGTGAAGCTTCAGTATGCCGATGAGTTTAGAGAGCGATAGATGTTTTTGGAGAGGGGGGAGCATTGACTGTGTCAATGGCAGTGGGTGGTGGGTTGTCTGAGGAGATAACACGTAGTGTGCCACCAAGAAAAAGAAACAAAAACAAAAATTAAAAAAAAATCAACCAAATCACAAGAAAAAACTGTCCCTAAGGGAACACTCTTTTAATATATATATATATATATATATATATATATATATATAGATATATATATATATATATATATATATATATATATATATATATATATATATATATATATATATATATATATAATAATATAATAATAATAATAATAATATAATAATAGTAATATAAAAATAATATAAAATAGCTAAAATAAAAATATGAAAATAAATATAAATGAATAAATAAAATGAAAATATTGGTAATATGGGTTATTTAATTAAAATAAATCTAGTTTATTTTGAAAATATATATAATTATATATAATTCTGGGGGCTGTTTGCAATTTTCAGAAATCTTTTAATTAAGGGATATAGGAGTTGGGGTGGGAGCTGTTAATTCCCAAGACCGCATGGACCATTTATGTTAATTCTGAAAATGTTGTCTTCTTCGTCGTTTAAGCGTGTACATGCCGAGACCTATTTTTTCCATTTTCGGTGACTGCAAAGACTCATACTCAAAAGCATATGTGTCTAGTCCCTCTTGCAACATCTCCCTTTGACTATTTGATCGATCATTTTTTTTTGGATTAAAATCATGTGAGCTTACCGAGATTCCTTTTTGACCTCTATAGCTAGGGTTTGCGAGTTTTGTTGTTGTAAGTTCGTCTTAAATCCGTATCGCAGGTATATCTTCTCCCCACTCCATCCCTATTGTTTCTAAGTACTTGCGTCCGAGCTGTGGAGGCCGGAGTAGCCTCCGGTAGCTCGCTATTCACCGGAAAATGCATATTGCGGGTTTTCTGTTGTGACAGCTTTGATGTCATTTTTGTTGGTTTTAAACCCTCTTAATTTCATTCTAATGATGACTTCTAAGCCCTTTAACACTTCAGATCAAGTGTAGGCTATTAGAACCAAAGGAATCACCTCAAAAATACTTGTGAACTTCCAAAACCGAACATATTGCGGGAGTTCTTGTTCCGGCCTGTTTTTAATCATTTTGGTTGAGTCATAGACCTCTAGTTCTTTGCTAAAAAAGTTTCCTAGTCCTTTTATCACCTGAGACCATGGTTGGACTGCTGGAACCAAGTATCCAACCTTGAAATGCGTTCAAAACCTCCTGTGCACACTATTCTCGGGTTTTTGTAAATGTTGGGTTTTTTTTTTTTTTTTTTTTTTGTGTGTATATACATTTCTTAGACCATGTTAGATGGTTATTGAACATGTATTCAACATCCTTAAATTATTTGGTCTTGTATCGATACTTTGTGCCAAGTAAACAACATCATTTTTACTTGATTTTTGTCTTAGAAACCCTAAAAGCTTAAAGCTACTCTTCTATGATGTTCCTTGTCCATGGAATCTGATTTTGAACCAAGTTTTGTTATTAAAGCACAACTTATATCACGTGTTAGAAGTTTTGTTGGTTACAAATGCTTTAAACAAGAAGTAAGCTCCAATTTAGGGTTTTGTGTGTGTTTGTTGTGTGTGTGTTGGTGTGAATTTTTTTTGTGAAACCTAAGATGGTATTTGGAAACACACATACCCTAATACTTGTATAAAAGTATAAATAAAATACAAGATACGTGCTATCATGAAATAATTTAAATAGAGTAATGGGTATGGGATGCAGGTGTTCGACGAGGAAGTATATCATCTAGCTCACGACAATAGCGTTGTTAGGATTTTGCTTGTTAGAATTAGGTGAGTTTCTCAATATATTGTGTAGAATGTTAGTTTGTATTTGTGAAACTTGTATGAAAGACTGTTGGGTCAAAAATATGGTTTATACTTTACTTTTTCTAGGCTTTAATAGTTTACAGTCCATGTAGTGTTTGCGGCTGGGTGTGTTCACGGCCAGGTGGTGTTCACGGCTGGTTGTTCCATATATATAGCGTGTTAGAGAGAGAGAGAGAGTGTATGGCTAGAGGAGCTTAAATGTGTGTATTCTAAGGTGTTCTAGAGAGAGAAATGAGAGAAGGTGCAAGTGTGTGTGAATCTTGTGTATTGTTCATCATTCCAATCTTGAATACATCATAGATTCATATTATTCTTCTCTCCTTCTTCTATTTTTATCTGGCATCATCCAATTGATTGGGATTCCGCACTATCAAGCGGATTTGATTGACACACAAGCAGATTGGGGACTTACAAGTGGTATCAGAGCTTAGATTGTATCAATCATTTTTGTCAGATCTGGAGCGTATTTGATCTTATTTTTGAAAGATTTCTGTGTTTTTGGATAGATCTTGGCAAAATAGGGGGGGGGGGTTGTTCTTTGCATTTTTTATAAAAATGAGTTTTTGATCGAGTTTTGGAGCAAAAAGTGTGAAAAACGTCGTTTTTTCGTAACTGTTGAAGGGTTTACGACCCGAAGTTCGTTTACGACCGAGAACAGTTTGCGGCCCTCGGAGTTCACGGTCCTCGGTGTACGGCTCAGCAGTGTTTCACAGCTTCGGACGTTCTCGGCTAGCATCCTCGCACGCGCACGCAGCGTCCTCGCATCAGCGTGTTTATTCAAAAATCATTGGGGTGGAGGAGGATCGAACCCGGGTCTCCTCCCTACTCAACCAACACGCTTTCCACTTGATCTAGCTTGCTAGATGGTAGTCTCTTTCCGGAATTAATTCATAAAGGCTCGCTACTTCGACCCTAGTTTCACATTTTTAACACTTTTAGCCCAAAATTCAAAAAAAAAATTATTTTAAAATTCCATTTTCAACCCAAAATTTTAGTTTTTATTTTTTGACTTTCTAAATTGACTTTTGACCTAAAATTTTGACTTTGACTTTCAAGTTTGACCTTTGACTTTAAACTTTGACTTTCTCGTTTAACTTTCAAATTTAGTTTTTTGATTTGACTTTTAAGTTTGACTTTTCAAGTTTGACTTTTTAAATTTGACTTTTAAGGTTGACTTTTGAGGTTTTAAGTCAAAGGGCATATTTAAAAAAAACAATGAGTTCCTCAAACATTCCGGTCAATGAAGTTTCATGCTCTCAAACTTGCATTAAAACTGTTAAAAATTTACGTGAACACATCGATTTATTAAAAAGAGAAAATGAGAAACTTAAATATGAGGAGTACCAACTTAGGAAATGCCTAAAACCATTAAAAGAAGAACTAGAGGCCAAGACTAAGGACTTTGGGAAATTATAGGCAGAGTACAGTGACAAGTGTGTCCATTATAGATATCTTAAGAAAGATTTTGATGATGTGACTGCCGAACTTGCTGCATTAAAAGCAAAATATAAAGATGTTGAATTCAACTTTAAAAAATCTGATGTGTCAAGTGAGGTAGTTATGTCCATGATAGAAAAACAATTTACATTTAAAGATAATCAAAACAAGGGTCTATGGTATCACGATGTTCCACCTCCTTTCAATGATCACTATACTTTCACCCCTCTGACTAAGGAAGAAATTAAAAATGAAGCACACCTTAAGTATGGTCAACCCCCTTGTTCCAGTTTCAGTTAAGACTGAACAATCAGGGCCAACTGAGGGTGCTGAGATGAAAAATACTGATGTTTCCACTTCTTGTGCAGGTAAAGTAGTGGAAGAAGAGAACAAGGAAAACACTATTGAACAAACCAATGTCTCCTTGAACTCTGAACCTGTTGCTTCTAACTCAGTCACTCCTAACAAACCTGTTGTTCAGAAAAAACAGGCCACCAATTCCTGTGAAACAGAGTGTCTGTTGCAAGTGTGCTTGTGGGAACAATAAAAGACAAGACAAGGACACGCCACCAGGGGCAGGAAGAAACAACTTCCCAGTGAAGAAAAATACATGTTTTCACTGTGGAACACCTGGACACATTGCCAGAAATTGTCCAAATCGCGCATACGTTCCCTACTACGCACACATCAGGCAGAACGCGCCAAGAGGGAGATACCCGAAAAGAAACCCTTCAAGGTCAAAATCGCGAAATTGCGACTGGAATGCCAACAAGGGAAAGAGTTCAACTCCCAAGGCCAATAAATCAACTCCCAAGGGCAAGAAGGGAATGCCAGCCCAGAAGTCAAGTTCAAGAGATGCTCCTGTAAAGCCAAGACCGGTTAGGTCAAAGTCATCTCGGCAGTCGACTTCAAGTTCAAAATCAAGCGACAAGGCATCCATCCGATCAAACAAGAAATGGGTTAAACCCGACAATAGATGGGTACCAAAGGTTCAATCTCCAAAATCTTCTAATGATTCTAATATTTCTTCGTCTTCTGTTTGTAATAAGCAGGATATGTCTTGGGAGAGAGTACTGTGCGTAGACGACAAAGGTCAACCCAGTTTCAAAATGGACTGAGTTCCAAAGACCAACTAATCCCGCTCTGTGTTGGAGCAGCTATGGAGGCATATCATCAGACTTCGGTTTGTTGGTAGTGGTTGTTCCAAGCACATGATAGGAGGCATCTCTTAACTGTACAACACTTAGAACTTTGTTTGAGAGTATGTGTCCTTTGCGGGAAAGGAAGAAAGGAAGGGATCACACATGGGGTTAGTGCTAAATGACGTGAAGAATTTTTGGATCTGTTATGAGATTATGCATGCTGTTCTCAGACCTTCTGGATGCAAATTCAATCGGTGACTTACGGTTGAGTTTTTGTCTCGATACTCCTGAGTTTATCTTTAACTGATTCGTTTTGAAGACAGATTTTTATTTTCTTATATGTTTATTGGGAAGTGATATCAAGATAAAGTGATAACGGGCAGTCTAAAACATGTGTAAGGGACCGAATCTGAATTGTCTAGACTCTGTGTTCAATGTGCTGGTAGGCACGAAGGATTTGACAGTGTGGATTTAGATAGGATTGTTTG